TCCGGCGTTTCTGGTCTCGGCCAAGGTTGTGGTGATTGTCGATTGGGTAGTTTTTGTGCAGCGGCACACTGAGGACAGCTCCGACATATCTTCTCGATTTGTTCATCCATATTGGGCCAATAAACATAACTTCGGGCGAGAGCTTTCCTCCGGTTTATTCCGGGGTGTCCCTTATGGAACTTGGTCAAAATCCTGCAGCGGAGTGTTTCCGGGACAACCACTCGATCGGCAAAGAGGAGGCAACCGTCAACGATCGATAGTGCTTTTCGACGTTGGAACAGTTATCGCAGTTCTCCGGGTGGACAAGTAGACGGTCAATGTGACTGGTGGTAGTGCGTCGCTCGTAGCAGCACATTGTCGCTGCTGGTGGCCTCACGAACCATGTCAGCGGTAACCGGTAGATGTTTTCTTGAACAACTGCTTTGATTTCAGGTTCCAAAGCGGTTGATGCAATTACTGCTTCTTCCGGTTCCTGGTTGTGGGGATTGATCAACCGTGAAAGGGCATCTGCTTGGCCAATCTTATCCGTCGTAGTGTACTTGTTTTGGAGGGACAAGATAGTGTTCGTATCTGGTTGCGCTGATTTTTCCACTTTCTTAACTTGGTTTGGTGTGAATGATCATAGCTGATCGATTGTCATATGTGTAAGTTGCAGACAATCGATCCAATCGATACCAAGCAAGTCCATTTCACAATCGACTAAAAAGACTGATCCACGACTTCGTTTGCCTGCAATTTCCATCTCACTCAAATTCACCAAATAAATTGATTTTACCTCCTGAGGCGTTTCTGACCGTGTTGATGGTTAGTGTGTACCTTGGGCAGCCAATTTTCTCCCAAGTCCGTTTAGATACCAGTGTGATATCGGAGGCCGTATCGAGCTGCAAACGAAATGTTTTTCCGTTTGTTTTGGCTGTCACGTAATTCCGACGCAGCTGGAAATTTGGTTCGATTGTGGCAAGGACAGCGTTGAATTTGGGTTGAGCTTTTCGTGATCTGCTGTAGCGGTTGACCGTTCTGTTGTGCTTTTTGGTTCGGCATTGTGCCTCTTTATGGCCACGACGATTGCACAGTGTACATTTGTGTTTCTTGTAAGGGCAGAGTTTCACAAAGTGCCACTCACTGCACTGGCAGCAAGCTGATGGTCCAGTTACTGTATCAGGCTGTTTGGAAGATGTTTGCGCCACATGAAAAGAATTGTTGGATGATGAAGGCTCCAACACGTTTGTGTCGCGTTTGAGATTCATGAGACGTTGCCACTCAGCGCCACATGAAAAGAATTGTTGGATGATGAAGGCTCCAACACGTTTGTGTCGCGTTTGAGATTCATGAGACGTTGCCACTCACGAGTGACCTCTTGCAATGTTATATCGGGAGACCGTTCGATCTTGTTTAACAATGATGTTCTGTAATCACTGTCAGAATGGACCTGGAGACCACAGACGAAAATCAAGCATTTGGACTGATCCTCTGTCATGGTAGAAAACTTTCTACCGGCATAAGTGATAAAATCCTCGACTTCTTGTTTGACCAGTTTCATTCAATGGTAACGAATATTAAGCAAGGACGAACACTCACCGAAAGTTTCTGACAGTTGCTAGTTTCATCAAAGGTGAAATCGCGAGCATTTTTCGGTAAAATGAAATTGGTGTAGCGCATGTGTTCAGTGGTATTAAGTTCCCTCAGCAACAACCTCACTCTCCATGCATCATCTTCGTTCTTCTATTCGAATTTAAAAATATCTGCGTATCGTTTGAACCACGACTCGAAAAAAAATGCCAGCATCAGGTTCAAAATGGAACTCCGTGATACCGTTCACAATTGCGTCGACTGGATTTGAATCTGGAACTTGACTTGTTGACTGAACTGCCAGTTTCTGTGTCAATGTTTCTATCAAACGCAACTGTGCCGCTTCAAACTGAATTTGCTGTTGCTGCAGGATGGCTTTTAATTCTTCAGCGGTTATGGACATTTTGCGTAGGTTTCCCGTCGCCAAATCTGTTGTGTACTGACTGTTGCTGAGACTGCTATCGCACCACCAACTTTCGAGCCGAAGAAGAGAACACAATTAAAATGGCACAGGACACTATATGAGAGAAAAAAGTGTCTTCCTTTTTTGTGTCGTCCTTACGCGTTAGCATTCGTTCTTTTTTATTGCGTCCGGTGCGTTCTGAACGTTCGATATCAATTGACCAATCAGAGTCATCGAACTGCCCGGTTCATTACGCTGTCTGACCAATCAGACAACGTCGTACCGTCCGTGGTGAAATACAGTGATCGACCATTTCCGGCGTTTCTGGTCTCGGCCAAGGTTGTGGTGATTGTCGATTGGGTAGTTTTTGTGCAGCGGCACACTGAGGACAGCTCCGACATATTAATGTTCCGGACAACCCGGGACGTATAGCTTCGTTGACCGTTGAACTTCGACTAACCTGCAACGTCCGGGCTTATAAAGTTGACTCAGTTCTATGAAAGTGATGACCGCATATATGTGAAAGCTCATCAGGTTTTTATTTCAGCATTTGGTTCCGGTCTGCACCTTTTTCACTTTTTTTCCTATTCACCTAAATATTTATTTTTTTTATCTTACCCAATCTTTGGTAGGATACCTGAATTTTAAGGCTGCTTGTTGCTGTTGCACACAGCGTTCTCATTTTGCCCACTTTGGATTACAACTCTGGACAATTTTTCGCTCAAGCGCTACTACACAGTGGTAGACTCGCGCTGTTGCTCAAATCGCAGCACGTAATCCGATATAAGGTTAACTGTTTTGACACTGATAGTCTAATCAGCAAATGATTTTGCCTAGGCCTTATAAATCTGTTTGCATTTACAAATGACCGCAAATCATGGATCATTCCTGAAAAGAAATCGAACAGAACAGGTACACTCCGCGACAAAAATATCTCACTTCGTTGATCGTTCAGATTATCTCTACCCCCAATGCACGATCATCACCATTTATGCGAACCTAGACGGCAAATTAATCGAAATCCGGAATCTGGGCAATCAAATAATTTTTATTCTAATGACGATATACTGAAAGAAAAACTGTCACCGCCACGAAAGTATTGCACTTCCCGCGTGATATTCGCTCAATAAAGCCAATATGACACCGGTCGTTGCGTCTCAAAACGTCTACATGTTGTCTCAGATACTCTGCACAAGGTTTCGATTCACGTTCGTGTTGATGTTCTTCCACTCTCAAATCAACAACCTCTGCAGTTCCTGAATTGTCGTTTAAGTGAATGAGTGCTGGTACTCCTTTCTGGTAAAGATATCCTAAATAATTTCCATGGGATTCAAGCATGAGCTGCTGTGAAATGCTCATTAACATTTTCTTCTGGATAATGGGTATAAACGGCGGCATTATCATGCTGGAAATAGATGCGGAATGACTATTCGAAGCCAGAGCTGGCCTACGACGCCACTCCAATGCGCAAATACATGCGTCAGAATCTTGCATACCACATTGTAGGCCAAGTTTGATTACGCCATTTGCTGGAGAACGTACTCCATATAATCACGGATTCGCGGTCGTTAATCTGAAGTACCGCTCATCTATTCGCGGATCATGCCAATATTTCCACGCGTTGGATCCATCCCAATTACATTTCTATCGTCTCTAAATTGGGGAAAGTCACAATCTTCGTTCCATCTTACATAAGTTTAAGCTCAGTATGAGCGCTTCTCTGTTTGTAAAGTTGATAGGGCTCTTACGCCTTCTAATCTTCTTGCATTTCATCCTTGGATCGTTTTAAGCAAATATTCACACGTGAAGTCAATTCTCGATCAGAAATGGAGTTTTCCTAGGCAATGAGTTGTCTCAAAGGGTATAAGGTCTTCAGCCCTGAAAGACTTAGGAATGGTGACTGGGCGTTCGTCTTGGAGTTGCCGGAACTCTTGGCTTCAGTACGGTAGAGTGCATCGATTCCAGCTCAATGGTTTGAGTAGGTGATTCTTCATATTTAAACGAAATGTCACAAATCATCTTGTGAAAACCTCAGAGAAATGTGTTTAATGTTCATTGTCTCCAAGCTTCTTTCTAGGATCACTCCGTCGATTGTGCACCACACGCTAATGCTGCATGTACGAGAAACAATTTGGTTTTAGTTGTGGTCGAGGTTGTACTGACCATTTCTTCACTGCCTAAAATACAGACATTCCCTTCGCAGACCCACTTTTTCTGTATTCCTCAATCTGACAGCGGCATTCAATTTCGTCGACCCCTCCGAACTCCTGCGCTACCTATTCGTGAAGGGTGCACACGAGAATTTTAGTTGAATACCACATCTTTATACTTATAGCCGAAGCCGAGCTTGCAGCACTGTCTGAGTTCACTGCAGAAAGCGTTGTTTTTCAGGGTTGGTCTTTTTCTGTGTAATGTCTTCACGGATTTGATTATGTAGACAGTCTTGTCCGCTTGCGAGGATAGTGGCATATGTCTGCGTGCAGGTGGCAATCTGTTAGATCCGAACTGTGTAGGCTGTTTGTTGAAAGTTCAGGTAAGTTACTACTGTTCGGGACCGTTTCAGTGTCACTATTTTCGATTTGCGTTTTGCCCATTCGAAGTACAAGATGTTGCTACAAGACTGGGTTGGTCCAGCACCCACCCTCATTATAACTGGGGAAGTAATACAGCAAATGAACAAGTTTTGTCATTTAGGCAGCTATATCTCACTCGGTGGACGCATCACGGATGAAATGTCAGCTCGCATTTAGAGGGCTCGGTTGGCAATAGCCAACTTGAGACATCTGTTAGTGAAGGGTCGAGTGTAGTAGACTGCTGCTATACGGCGCAGAAGTTTGGCCATTTCGAAAAATTGATAAACTGTTATTTCAACACCACTGACTTTGCCGCATTGCACGAGTCGGGTGGGACAATTGGACAAATACTGTCGAATTTTGCGAGATCACGGTCGCCTACTGGAGCAAGTNTACGTTGGTCGAGGTATGTTTTACGCATGTCGCCAAGTAGGTTGCTACTGCGCAGGGTCTTTGTCGAGGCAAGCAGCGGGTTTTTTTTATTACACACCTAAGTGTGATGAACAGCAGACCTGTTGTTCGGTGATGGAAACCGGTAACCTAAGCCCCGCGGGACTTGGAATGGCGAACCACATAAG